AAAAAAATATTATAACTCAGACATAACCACTTATTCTTTGTTTCCTTCACGCTTTAAAATAAAGAAATCTCTTATTTCTCCTATTTGGAGAGGGGAAATGCTTTTCTTCTGGCTACTATCTTGTTTAGCATGAGGGGGAGGGAGGAGAGCTCAGTGAAAAGCTTTTGTAACAGGTTCAATAGTAGAAAAGTCATTTCAATCTCCAGACATTTGTAGTCTTCATTTCTTTAGTCCTTGAAAGGGCGTTTTAAATGTTAACAGCTAGGACTGCTTTCCTATACTGTTATTCCCAGCTTTGTACTCTTGGGGGTCTTTCCAACCCTCGACTTCCCAACAACTTCTATGCCAACTTCTTTTTCAAAACAAGCAAACAGCAAACAATAGGGGGTGGGGAGAGAATTGATACTTCATGATGTGTATAGTTTGAGTTCAAAAATACAAAACAGAGTGGTATTTATTGCAAATCAGAGAACTAAAATAGTTTGCCTTAATTTCTTCTATATTTGATGATTCCATATGCCTATTTAACATGCTCTCATTTCTGAAATAATGACACATCACCTGCAAAGTTATCAGAACTAAAGTAGCTAACAAGCTTTACCGGTCCCTCTTCTTAGAAATGCTAAAATTCAACTCCCAGAATACCAACATTTAAAAAATGCTATATACTCTGAAGTCTTGATTTAAAAAAAATAAGTTTAAAATGAAATGTACAGTATCATCCTATTTTAGAAAAAAATTAAGACACATAAGTTCAAAATGGATTTCAGGTTGAAATCCTTAAGGGTCTGCAAGGTAAGTGGTTCAAACCCATGAGCCACACTGAGGGAAAAGATGAGGGTACCTGCTTTCTAAAGATTCACAGTCTTGCAAACCCTAAGGAGTAGTTCTATTCTGTCCTACAGGGTCAATAGGAGTTGGAATCAACTCAGTGGCACTGGATTTTTTTACAATGTGATTAATTTTTCAGGATAGTGAAATTATATACTGTCTTTAAAACTTCTTGTTTATTTTGTCTTGGGTGTATATACATTGTGATAAGGAAAAATATTACTCTTAGTTTCAAAATAAGTGCTATTATATTATAGATGTACTTTTAAAAGTTCCATATGTATCATGTAAATAGGAAAAAAGCTGGAGTTTAATTTCCAAAATAGTAAAATTATGACTCTCATATAAATATGAAGAACAAAAGACAAAGTGTCAAATGTCAGTGATTTTATTTAACTTATTTAATGAGAAAAACCAGCCAGAAGTTAAAACTAATTCATAATAGAATTTGACTTAGAGGGGAGGAGACGAGCTAATCAGGGTGCAGGGTAGCAACGATGAAACATATAACTTTCCTCTAGTTCTTTAATGCTTCCTCCCCCACAATATCATGATCCCAATTCTGCCTTTCAAATCTGGCTAGACCAGAGGATGTTCATTGGTACAGATAGCAACTTGAAACACAGGGAATCCAGGATAGATGACTCCTTCAGGACCAGGGGTGAGAGGGGCGAGGCCTGGAGGGTGAAGGGAATGTGGGGTAGAAGGAGGGAACCAATTACAAGAATCTAAGTATAGCCTCCTCCCTGGGGGATGGGCAGCAGAGAAGAGGGCGGAGGGAGATGTCGGACAGTGTAACTTATGACAAAACTATAATAATTTATTAATTATGAAGGGTTCAGGAGGGAGGGGAAGGGGCGGGGGAGGGGGAAAAATGAACAAATGATATTGAGGGCTAAAGTAGAGGGCAAATGTTTTGAGATTGATGAGGGCAACAGGTGTACATATGTGCTTGACTCAATGGATGTATGTATGGACTGTGATAAGAATTGTACGAGCACTCAATAAAATAATTTTTTAAAAGAATAATGAGGGTAACCAATGTACAAATGTGCTTTATAGAATTGATGTATGTATGGATTGTGATGAGTTGTATGAGCCCCCAATAAAATAACTTTTAAAAAAGAAAAGAATTTGACATTGAGAGTTTTATATTCTTTACTGAACAAACTCCAGTTAAATTATCAATTACAGGAGTTATTGTTATGGGTAGAAAACATATGAATTGGTTTCCAGTTCCTACAACCTAAGTTGTATTCCTACATTGTTAGTAAGATAACCCAGTCAATCAATGACAGTCAAAAATGCACTCGTTTAGCCTGACAGATATATTCAGCAGTTCATTGAAAAGAAACCCACTTATCAATCACCTTTGCCCATTCCCAAATATTTCACAACTTTTTCTGATATATTTACTAATTAATAAATAAGTTTTACATTAGTAAATTGAATTAAAATTGTTGTCATTTTAAATTCCTCAAAGGAAAGAAAATATAGTCTCTTGTTTATGTATCTTACAGAATTTTAGTAAAGTCTGCTTAATATATATATGATTAAGATACTTAAAGTGTATAATTAAAGGATCAAGACTAGTTGAGGTAAGAAAAACATTAGAAATTTGAGCCAATTTAAATGATGGAACATTAATAAATTATGGAACATCAGCAAATAATGACATATTTAAGCTTATCATATGAAATAAGAAAAAATATAGGGACAAACTTTAAATATATAAAACTATAAGCATTATAAAATCACTTTCTGACAGGGAGTAACCTATATAAATGTTGCTATTTGGGCACAGTGGAACATGTACTGGCTTTTGAAGTTAGACTAAAGTATTAAATCCCAGTTTAGTCACTCAAGAACTATGCAAATTATTTAAACTTTTAAAAGTTTTATTATCAATATACTCACCTAGTACTTCTTACAAATTGTCGTGAGACTGAGATCAATTTTTATAAGTGTCTAGCAAAGCATATGGTGTCCTGTGGTTATTTAATAAATATTAGTTATGATTATTAGTCTAGGAATTTTTTTGTCTCATACTAAACAGATTTTCTGTACAGAATATATTCTGCTGGTTTTAAATTTCCCGTTTGTTAATTATGCTCAGTTGTGATTGTCCTATAACTATGCTCTGAGTTCCATGAAATATTAATAGGATATTGAACAAACCTTTTTTATTGCTTACTATGTGCTAAATATAGGGTATATAAAAAATTAAGATGAGATGGTTTAATCTTAGGAAAGCATTTAAAAATTCTATTGGTGACAAGACCAAAATAAGGATATTGTTATTAGGACCCATAAGAAATGCTACTGTTACATTATAAAACTTCTCTTTTTTGTTTAAGAGACCGTCAAAAAGACCTATTAACTCAAACTGAAATCCCCTCCTCTTAATTCAAAAACACATACTGACTACTGTGTCAGGCACTATGCTAGAACCTAAAGAAAGAAAAAAAAGAGATGAAATATTTCAAAGTTTCACTTGTAATTGGTTATCTTGTTTTATAGTACAAGAAGAGGAGTATTACTGAGTTTCTATAACATATATATTACCATTTTATTATATTGTATAATTTCATCCTTACCTATAGGCTTCTGTATATGAAACTGAGTGAAATTTGATAAAATGATCCAGTCTTTATTATTTCTTATGTTACTTTCTGGCTTGTGATCTTGTTTTAAGATAGTTTGAAGATTTGGTCATCCAGGTGCCAACAACTCTGGTGAAGAAATGAGACATGTTGCTAACTCATTAAACTTTTCTAGATTTTCACTAGTTAGTACAATTATAACTATTTTGCTATTATCCAATCCTATTCATAGATCTTTTTATTTCAGAATTCAGTTAACAACCTGAATGACCTTTCCTGTCATCCCATTTGGTTATTGGTAATATGTCTGAGTTCCAAATTGTATACATTACAATTTGTCAGACTCATTGGAGGTTAACTGTAATCCACCCTAGAAAATGTTTTAATTTTGATACATCACTATAATTAAATTTACAGAACTTTAAATCGTGTATTATTAAGCAAATTATCTTAATTCATAACACAGAGCAATCACTTCCACAAAGTGCTTTTCTGATAACAGGTGTTTTATCCTCTCATTAGATTTACAATTTCTATTATAGGGACTTGGAGCAGTGAGAGAAAGAGATTACCCAAAAAACTCACAGAATGAGGGTAGGTGGGTTCATGCCTGGTTAGGTATTCACACACCTTGATACTTCAGGGCTTTCTGAATTACACTAGTGGTTTCCAGGGGCTAGACTGGGAAGGGGTAAAGGAAAGGCACTACGTTTGGATTCTTTCCTTTTGTGGGGAATGAGAATGTCTTTGGACTTGAGGTAAAATGAGAGAGTATTAGGAACTACCTCTATTAACTGCTTATGGATTGAACACTTTTAAACGGTTATTTTTATGCTACGTGTATTGTATGCTAGTTTCTTTAAAAGAAAACGTAAAAGAGATGGTGCTTTCCTGGTAGGCATGTGCTTTACTTGGTGAAGGCCCAGCTCTGTAGCCTACACAGGGCGGTCCAAGTTTCACCTTCCCTCACAGAAAGCCGCATGGAAAGCATACAGAATCCCCCCAGGTGGACGCTGGCCTAGGTAAGGGTGAAAAATGCAGTAGGATATTCGTCAGGATCTAGTAAAAAGCGGCACCATCACCTAGAAATCCCCGGGACTAATGACCAGGGTAGGAACGGTGGAAGCCATCTTTTTTTTTAAAGCTTTTTGTCCTGCGGGAAGGGCACACTGAGGATTCAATAAGCCTCGTATAACATTACGTTTACAACTAGTGTTTAACTACGACGGATGCATTTGCCAATGAAATTGCTCCTCACGGTGAACTGTGAAAACCAAGTCTAAGTCTCTTCCTTTGGCGACGAAGCTGCCCAACAACGTACACCTCCATACTTAGCCACGGGAAAACGCTCTCCGCCAGTCGGAGGAGGCGGAGCTTCAGGGGCGCTCCCGCCACGCTGCGCGACCAGCACCGCTGAGCTTCCTGGGAGTTGTAGTTTTAGTTACTCCTTCCTCCTCTTTGTTCAGGCGAGTGTGGAGTTAACTGGAAAACTACAAGTCCCAGGGTGCACCGGGGTGGCGAGCGGCCGCGGCAGTGACGTCGGAGGCCAAGGAGGCCCGGAGTAGCTCGGCGTTCTGGAGAGGCGCTACTTGGGCCGGTGGTAGACTGCTGGCTGCTGGCGCGATTGCTGGAAACCGCGAGTGGGATCTCTCTCTGCCGTTCGGATCTCCACAACGATGAGTGCAGCCAGAGACTCCCACCCACACGGGGTGAAGCGCTCAGCCTCCCCAGACGACGATGTAAATAACAATGGCGGAGTGAATGAGGGTTGAGGCCTACCGAAGGCTGGGGTAGGCCAGGAAGGGTGGATGGAGGAGGAAGGGCCGAGGTGGCCCGACGGCGGAGTGGTGAGAGGATGGACCCAGACGAAGGGCAGTGTAGTGTCTCCCTTCTGTAATTAAGAGTCGGAAGCTTTGAAGAGGTTCACTCGCTTAGCGTCACGAGAGAGCTGCGTAGGACGGGAGTTTGAAGAATCCTGCGAATTAAAAGGGCTTAGTCAAGGGATACCGGTGTTTGCGTTTATGAGCGCTGATTAAAAAACAACTTCGTTCGCAGGGCTTTGTACTTAAGATAGATAAGGCAAGGGCCTCCGCCTTTTATGTTTAAAATGCCCCTTTGACAGTGTCAAGATGTACGTGCAATTTGGAATTCATCTTCCGGTCACGATTTTTTTTTTTTTTTTTTGCTGTGTGTTGTTAACCGTACTGTTATGAGTAAACAGAATCATATTAAACCAAAAATTGAGGATTAATTCAGTGAGGTGTAAGGCGGTGAGACCTAGAAGTCCCCCTTGATGTCAGACACCACCTCCTTCCTTTGCTCGCCACCCCTCCCCACTGTCGGTTTAAATAGCACCCCATTCATCCCTTTAAGTAGCCTATTAAGTGTTTACTGCTATGCCAGGTGTTGAAAATTCAAAGGTTAAGTAGGTTCTTTTTGTGTGTGTGCATATTTGTGCTAGCGCCAGGCGCAGTGTCATAGAGACTGCAGGGCACCAATAAATGTAAAAGGACAGAAAAATGGCCTAGGGTCATATGTGGGGGGGTGGGGGGGCGGGGAGAGGAAGTGCTGCTGGGGACTGCTTCACCGGAAAGGCTGGGCCGCTGAAGGGGTGACGTCTAGGTCTTGTTGCAGCACCACCGGTATCTGGATGTATCCTTGTTTTCTGTATTGCAGTTCAGTGCTTATAATTCCTTAACTGGTGTGCGTCCAGTGTCTCCAAGGAGATGGCGCTGGGGCCGGGTGAGGGCCGGGACTGTAAGGGTCTTTAAAGGACCCTTCAGGCTCCTCTGGAAGATTAGCCAGCCTTAAAGATCAGGGGTCATCCAATGAGGTTTAATTCGTGAGCCCTGTTTCTCCTTGCTGCTGGTTAACAGCCTTTGAGACCTTTTTAGGAAATTTAGTTCTTGGTAGGAGTTGAGGCTTTTGAGTAAACCTGGCTGCCATTTTATGCTGTTACATTGTTTGCCTCCTGGTACTGGCTTACTGTGACTTGATTGCTAAGATGTCAGACACCTTTTTGCTAGACACAGAGAAAAAATCATGCGGACGAAAAATGTCAAGGGATATTATGCAATTTAACAAAGTTTGCGATTAAGGCTTTAAAGTCTCTACAACTTCAAATGGGATGGTTTCATTGAACAATAAAGGCCTAAGACCTTCATGCATTATCTAAAACTGACTGTTGGCTAATGTTATAGTGCAGTGCAGTAACTTGACCCTTGGTAATGCCCTTTCTTTTTGCTTTTGGTTCTTCTGTTATGAAGTTTTACCAGTTTTACTGGCAATTTGGGCTGTCTGTAAATACTTGATCTTAAAAATATATATATTTCAAAAAGTATTTGCTGTATAAAAATATTTTTGATGTATTCTTAATATATAAATCCAAATTGTAAAAAAACAAACAACTAATTATAGTATGTAGCTAGTTAACAGTTTCTAGTGGGTATCTCCTTCGTGTCAAAGGTAATCAAAGTTTTCATTGTTTACTTTATATGGTAATTGGAGATAAAGTCTTAAGAGCTATTTTATGTTAAATTAAAATAGACATTAAATCACAGAATAGAACACTAAAATGTATAATTAACTGAATACAAGCTACTATAGAGCATGTTTCAAGAAAAGGGGTTATTAAGGGTGTTGCTAGCTGCCACTGCGTTGGCCCCAACTTGTGGTGACTCCATGCACAATGGAACAATGCTGCTGCCCGGTGTTGAGCCATCCCCAGGATCTCTTGCTGCTCTGTTGTGCTCCCTAGGGCTTTTTTAGATCAGAATGACCGATTTTTCTATCAGAATGCCAAGCCTTTGTCATCCAGCTTAGTCTGGGAGCTCCATTGAAACCCGCTCAACGTCATAGCACTCAAGCCACCCCTGACATCCAGGTGGTGGCTGTGCAGGATAGACATGACCTTCAAATCGAGCCTGGGTCTCCTGCGTGGAAGGCGAAAATTCCACCACTGAACCACTGTCCCCTTACAATTGTTGGTTGGTCTGACTAGAGTGGTGAAGTGAAAGCTTTCTCCCCTCTTTCATTTTGAGGAAAGGTGGGGTTCATTACTTTGGAGAGCCCTCCTAAGAAATTACCAGGTACCTGTGTGCTTTTCAGAATGCAGCACTTGGGCAAGATACTTGCTATAGTACTCTAAGGTTTTTAAAAGGAAGGACTAACAACAACAACAAAATGCCACTGAATCTGTTCCTATTCATAGCAACCTATATTATAGGATAGATTAGAACTCCCCTTTTGGGATTCTGTGACTTTAAATCTTCACAGAAGACAGCCTCATCTTTGTCCCTGGTAAATTTGAATTGCTGGCCTTGCTGTTGTTAACCACTCAGTGAGTAACCCACTATACCATCAGGGATAGAAGGACTTAAATTGAAGGATACATTAAGATTCGAAGTTATTGATAATAGGGTTGTTTAAAAATATTGACAATGTTTGCGCTCATATAGTAATTAGAGAATTTAGGGAAAGTTTAGGATTTTATCAATTGTATACATTTTTAATTCAGTTCATAGATACTTTCACTTGTTTTATCTTGTTTGCTCATGTACGAATACAATATGTTTTGAAAAGAGCAAAGGATCTGTCATTTCACTTTTCTGCCCCACGGTGCCCTTAGGAAATAGGAACGCTTGAAGGAATGAATGTAAGTGAAAGTGATTGATTCCAAGTTAACCGTGACCCTATAGGACAGAGTAGCTAGAACTGCCCTGTAGAACTCCTAAACTCTAATCTCAGTAGTAGGCCTTTTCTCTTAAAGAAGGTTTGAGCTGTCAACCTTTTGATTTGCAGCCAGATTCTTAAACCATATGCTACCAGGAATCCTTATGCAACTGATAGTTTCTATTATTTCAAGGCAGGCTTTTAAAGAATCCTCTAGGGAAGGAATTAAAACTTAAGATATTAAGTGCTGGTTCCGAGTTCATTGAGCCAGAAATAGTTAAGAACTAAATGATCTGTAAAATGTAATGAGTACTCCTTAGTCAACTATACAAAACCTAAAGGGCAACATTTGCCCAAAACCAAAGATGAGAAGACCAGTAGGGATCAGGAAACCAGATGGATTGAAACTGGGAACCCAGAGAGGAAACGGAAAGTGTTGTCACATTGCAAGGACTGCAGCCATTGTCACAGAATAGTGTGTATAAAAACTATGGATTGGAAAACTAATTTTTTATGTGAATTCTCAACTACAAGCACAAAAAAAGTTAACAATTTAAAAATAAGATGACCAGTTAGATAAAAAGAGGTAGAGATTTGGTGTCCAGATCATGAAGATACGTGAGTGCTGCCCTCCCCAAGGACTTTAGAAGAACTATAAGTGGGTCCAGGATGGTCAAATGCTGTAACTCGTGTGCTCAGGGAAATTGTTAATTGCCATTAGCTGATTCCAACACATGATGACCCCAGAGGTGTTCAATGGAATTTTCAAGGCTGATGTTAAGCTTTACTTCTAAAGTGTGTCAGAGTGAGTTTGGCCCACCAGCCTTTTGGTTAAAAGTTTAGCACTTAACCCATGTGCACCATTCAGGGACTCTTAACCTGGAAAAATAGTCTCTTTTTGTTTTGTCTTTTACACCTAATTTTTAGAAGAAAGAAAAGGATGGCAAGAAACAACTTTATCAGAATTTTATGACATAGTAACTCCATATTTCTATTCCCACATTTTCTGGATTTTGATAGAATATATGTATACCCAAAATGGGCACTACTGTCTAAATAAAACTAAATGCTAATCAATCAGCTGCCTTGTGTTAACCTAGAATATAAATTCCAGATTCCAAATTCATTTCTACTAAGTTTGAGCTTTATCATCACTTCTAGTTCCTCCATTTGTATCATTAAAGCACACTAAGATTTTTTAAAAACCTATAATTTTTCATAATTTTGTGTCAAAGAGAGTGTTGTCATCTTTGCATCATAATTGCAAAACATTTTCATTTTTAGATTTTGATCTCAGTGAGAATGATCAATCCAGTGATTTTCATTTCATGTTTCATTACATCACCTATGTCCTTCTAGTTAGTTACCTGCTCTTAGCATTTATCCTTTTATAAACCATATCAAATTTTGTGGTACAAAAATCACAAGTGATGAAATATAACCGTAGTCTTTTTTTTAAAAAAAAAAGGTGGTCCAGGCATATGTTGCAAGAATGATTGAAGAGGAAATCCTTCTATTGAATGACTTGCTGCTTATGGGTTTCATTTCTTTTTGACCATTTTTGTGGTCTTCAGGTTTTTTTTGTTTTTGTTTTAATTTATTTTTAATTGAGAGTAATACATATATCATTCCATAGTTCAATCACGTCAAGCAGAATTGTACAGTTGCTACCACAATCAGTTTCCAAACATTCTTTTTCTTCCTGGACTCCTTGACATCGTCTCCCTTTTACCACCAACCAACACCAACACACACACACACCCCGCCAAACAAAAGACCCTATTCAATGCTTTAGAGAAAAGGCCATCTAGTACTTCATCATTCATGGACTCATAGTCTGAGATTTTTTTTGCAGATACAGTTAATTGTGCCATCATCATTGGTGTGGAGTATAACTATTATTTTGCTTTTGTTGTCTGATTTATCTGATGATTGTGAAACGCCTTTTGTCCGTTCCTTTTTTTCTATTAGCAGAAAAGGAATAATTTGAATTTTCAAATTTATGGAAAGCTGAAAACAGACAATAGAGGAACGGTTTGTGTCTTTTTGAAAGTTGATGACTAAATACTTCGGACAATTTAATAGTACTCTGCTCTTTTATTTTTCTTTAGTTGACTTTTTATTGTGAATTGGGTGAACATTAGTATTTGTGTGTAATTTTTAGTCATTTTTAGCATCATGATCATTGTTAGGTGCCGTCTCGTCAGTTCTGATTCATGTTAAACACAATAGAACTTTGCCCGGTCCTAGACCACCTCCCTATCTTTCTGTTGTCTGAGCTGATGGTGGGCAGCCCCGGTGTCAGTCCAGCTGGTCAACGGTGTTCCTTTTTAGGTGACCCTGGGCTTTACCAAGCTTGACGTCCTCCTTCAGAGGCTTGTCCCTCTTGGTGACATTGAACATGTTACTTAAGGCAAAGACTTGCCATCCTTTCTCCTGAGCAGCTTTCTCGTCCAAGATCGATGTATTTGTTGTTCTAATAGTCCATTGCACTCCGTATTCTGGGCCAACACCATAATTCAAAGGCATCGATCCTTTGGTGGTGTTCTTATTTCATCGTCCAGCGTTTACATGCCTGCAAGGGGATTGAAAATACAGCTTCAGTCGGTGTGTCATTGGATTTGATGGCTGCTTAATTGATGAACTAAAATTCTTTAATTTGGTTCAACATGTATAGGAAAATTCCTAAGATTACGTAATGTAAGATTTATAAAAGGGTCCAGTGGGCCTATTTGATAACTATGATAAGGTTTACTAGGTACTTTTTTAAAAGTAAATTTTCTTTGTATTTTAGAAGATCTCTAAGAAAATACAATTCATGACATACCAGTTTTTACAAATAATTAGAGCTGCTCAAAAAAAAAAACCCAAAAATTCGAACAGTAATATACCTTATGGTATATGCGCTCAGAACATTACTGGAGTCCCTAGGCTTTCTGCTCCCATAGTTAGTCTCAGAGACCCACAGGAGCAGTTCTGCCTTGTCCTACAGGCTCCCTGTGAGTTGGAATTGACTCAATGGCAGTGAAATTGGTTTTGTTTTGTTTTGTTTTTTAGGTGGTGCAAACAACTCATGTGTTAAGCTGCTGCCCAAAAGTTTGGAGGTTCTAGTTCACCCAAAGGCCCCTCAGAGGAAAGGCATAGTAATCTGTTTCTGGAAAATGGCCATTGGAAACACTATGGCCCACAGTCCTGCATTGACACTCCTGGGAGAAGGGCAACTGTATAGAACAGCACTAAAGCCAGAAGTTTTAACTTCAGCTCTAATTCTGCTGGCTTTAGAGTTCATAATGCCAAGTGCTAGAGACTCCTGCAAGCTCCAGGGCAGAGGTTCTCAAAGCAGGGTCCCCACATCAGCAGCTGTACCACAGAATTTTGGAAGTGAAAACTCAAGTGAATCAGAAACCCAAGGGATGGATCCCAGTAATGATTTTTAACAAGGCATCCAGATGTTTGAGATAATAAAAAAATAGTATATTTTAATCTGAATATAATGCATTTGTTTAATTTCCCAAGCAAGAACAATACTATTCCAAGTTAAAGATTGCCAGAAAAGAAAACAAGCTAAAGAGTTACAGGGTATACTTTAAGTTATTGAACAAATTATTATGGAGAAAAACTAACCTGGCTGATTTCTTTTTCAGCTTGGCTCTAGCAATTGGGAAGCAGCAGACTTAGGTAACGAAGAGAGAAAACAAAAGTTCTTGAGACTAATGGGAGCAGGAAAGGTAAGCATCAGATAATGTGCATCTTAATATTTTCTGTGAAAATGTGTCCATTTTTATGTGTGTTACTTGAAGACTGAATTCGCTTGGATCTGTTTTCCTGTTCTGCATAATTACTTTTAACTTTGTGAAATGTAGCAAGCCTGACCTCGTTCTTAAAATATATACTACTGCTGACAGAAGGTGAGAGGGCCCTCGTGGCATCGTGGTTACAGGGTTGAGCTGTTAACCAGAAGGTCAGTGTTTCCAAAACACCAGCCAAAGATTGGGTCACTTAAAAAAAGATTGCTACTGGGGTTCCACTATGCCCGTGGATTTATTCCAAATGAACCTGCTCTGCAGTCAGCAGGTGGCTGCAGACAAGCGCTCTTGGCAATACACTTGTCAGAGTCTCATAAGAGAACCTTCCAAAAGAGAGTAGTCAAAACCGTGGCTTCCACACTGAGCTACTGAGGCAGTTAAATCAAAGCG